AAGGCGGTGTTGAGAGTGGGAGTGGAGGTGAGGATAGAGAAGGGAAAAGGGGAAGGAGGGCAGATAGGGGAGCATGACGTGCGGAGGGAGTATATACGGAAATAATGGGATGGTGAAGAATGGAGGACGGTAGTGAAGGCGTAGGCGGGGGCGAGGGCGAGGTGGGGGCGGGGGGCGTTGTTAGGTGAAGTGCCAGCGATGACCGGGGGGGAGCGGGGCTGAGAGGGAGGAAAGGAGAGGTTGGGGGTGGGAGTGGGCGACGGGAGTGGGCGATGGGAGGGGTGGGGGACCACTGGATGATTGGGAAGAATGGCAGCTTCGGGGAGGTGGAGGCAGAGTACGAGCATGGCATGCACGCCTGTGAATGGCGCATAAAAATTCGGCCCAGAGGTATGAGGCAGTGCGCCAATTCAGCCGCCGTTTTGGCGCGAGAAGGTGCGTACGCACCCCGCGCCGTGGCCCGCGTTGCCGCACATCTCCCGCCCCTGTCCGCGCCCCCCGCCCGCCCATTGGCCGCAGCTCCCCTCCCGGTCCGCACGTTCCGCCCCACACGCTGCATGCCATGCGCCCCGCGGCCCCAACCCCCGCGCCACGTCCCCCGCGCTCCCCAAGCGGTGCGGCATCCGAAACTCGCATCGGTCATCCCGTTAACATCCCTTTGACATGCAGCCCGCCACCGCAGCCGCGCCCCGCGTATTCGTAGGCCTGCAAGGATTATTCTTTTGTACAACGCGGTACAGGAAAACCCCTATCCTGTCTTCCCTTCCCTATTTTCTTCCCTCGTCCTGCTTCCAACATCACACACGCATCACCTGTCACCTACCCACAAGCCCACTCTAGCCCGTTATAAACATTCATCCACATCGACTTCAAAACAAAAACGCATCTTGCCCGACAAGGTATGTCTTGCACTCAATGCGGCCAATGCCAACCCCCCATCTGTTTCTTCTGGTGTACGCATCCACACCAATCGAAGACACACGCCCTTTAAACTACACATCATTGCACTCACACTCACATCCTGCATACATCCGTATTTACCGCATCGCCCGCATCACGCTTCACCCTGTTGTTATCCTTAACCGACACCCAGCTTAAAATCTCGTCACTCTTTTGAAAGCTCAATCTCTCTTAATTGCCGTTGCTACTCCAACTTTTATTTGTCGTTCTTTCCACGCAACTTATCTACATATGTACCGTATTCCACCCCCGCGCTTATTTGTCACTGTCAATTGCCACCACCGTCTCGCTTGCTAGACCCCACCCCATTTAAACTCCTTTAAACACAGCCATTTCTGTACCGCACCCCCAGTCCACACACCGCTTCACTTGTTTTCGCAAAACTATTCAAGAGAGATGCGCAAACCCAACCAGAACAGGAACCACAGGGATAAGTCCAAACCCAGCCAGACGGGCCAACGCCGCCATTTTAATCATCAACAACACTGCCTCATCTGTGACCATCACAAGGACGACCATAACTTTGGCTTCTGCCAAGCACACAATCACACTATGCACAATGCACCAACCCCCTTTGCCAGCGCCAATGCAAAATTTGCAGGGGCTGTCGTGGCGCACGCATTCAACATGCCCTGAAAAGGCCGTAATCGCTTTTGAAAACTTCAACTGTCTCTCCGTTGTTGTTCGCTGGAGGGGAGAGGGGAATGAGACAAACTACCAACTACAACTCACTCTCTCCTGTACACGTTGGCCTTCTTGAAGCTCTGTAGTACCGGCAATGTATATGCAGAGCATTTCTCTCACCAGGCTTTCTATGAAGCCATCATGAAAGCGATTTCCAGATAAGATCATATGCGGCAAGGTCTGACCAAAGTAAAGCATTGAAGCTTGTTTACCTGCAATTCTGTTAGTTCCCGCACTCACCATCTCCGTTCTTTGTACATCTCATTTCGCCCATGTGTCTCTGTATTACAGAAGCACGAGTCACTCATCATTCGGTATTATAATACTGAGAAAAGACTCGCGCGACGACCGCCCTCCTTATCGCAGCGATGACCAGTCTTCCAAAATATGACTTCTTTGCAAGGACCTGCTTGACAAATGCATGCTTTTATACAATCCATAAGCATCCAAGTCTTGACAAAATCACGAACCGCAAGCTGGACTGGATACGCAGGGAGCCAGCTCTCCTCGTTCTCGCATTGCTTCTCAAACTTGTGCTAATCATTTTTCCGTACACTCTAAGACACCTTTCTTCCTTCGTACTCTGTAGACTCTAGTGTATCCTTGTGGCAAAACGGATGCGAGATACGAGAATACTGGCAAATGAATACTACCATTTCATCATTCTTGAGGCGGCGGGATCCAATGATCTTTTTCTACAAAAGTACCAGGCACGAACGTTCAAGGGATGGTTGACGGATGGTTGACCGGCGCTGGACGGTATCCTAGCACGACAAGCGACGGAAGCGATGCGATTAGCATCTGATATGGATTGACCTCTCCGAACTGCGTTCCATACGCCTTTTTGGCGTCCCAACTTTCAAAAGCCTCAGCAAGCTTTTAAAGCGGAGTGGAAGGGGACTAAAGATGAGCGGGGATCACATACTTCTCCGATGCACCCTGGCAGCAAATCGCCTTTGCTGTGTTTCATGAAGAGACGACAATTCTCAGAGGTGCATCCCTTCTCTGAACGCAGTGTCCCAAATCACGTAAGTGCTCTTGAAAAAAAAAACGTTTGGATGCCCTGTCAGTGCATTGCCTGCCTCAGGCAGTCGTAATGGACCTCTTTTGAAGCCTTAGCATCGATGCTTTCAGGTCAAACCATTCTTGCGTTGAGTTCGGATCGTTCCAAACACAAACATTCACGCGCCCCTGGACACCACGTCCCAGTATGGGTGCCTTTCTGGAACGAAAAAGAGCCTGTCACCTGTTCGAAGCCCATAAAACCAATCATGCCTGAGGCGAAGATCAACCAGCTTTGAAAAGCGGCACGCAGATCGGGTCCCGTGTGTCAGGGGACTTCCGCCAGAACACCTAGATAAGAATCTCCATTTTCTAGCTAGAGGGACAAGGTATGATGATTTTATAGAAGGCTGGCGTCCTTCCATGCACAAACCGAGGGCGGTGGAAACGTTTCTAAATGTGAAATAAGTGCATACAGGCGGGCATGGCCGTAAATACCAGCAGAATCTTCTTCAGTTCGGCATATTGTATCTGTAATTCTTTCATATTTTCTACTACGGCAGAAAATCGTCACTTTGGAGATATCGATAAGTGGATCGGTTTGAAAATCTTACAAACAACCGTTGATGTCGCCATGCTGAGAATCAGACTACGAATCTGGAGGAAATATCCATGGCTTGATGCGTTTCATCACTATCGCTCAAGAAGGGTCACCACTCAAAACCAGAAGTGACTTCCTTGCTCTGAAGAGCTCAAGAGTATGACTTGTACGTGAAAAGTGACTTTTGTCTGACTCAAAACCCATTCTTGCCTCAGAAGTAGTGCTTGTTTCCGCCTTGGAAGTAACGGATTTCGCGCTGCTTTACGTTTTGCAATACAAGAATATAGGTAACGGCTTCTAATGCCTACGTGAGATGCGCCAAGAAGGATAAGTTTGCAAGAATGGGCTTGAAACAGTCAAGGGAAGTATGGCCTTCCTAGGTTGAAGCGTTTTCCTTTGTGATGATTATGAGCGCAAGTACTTCCGTGAAGCAATGGTTCGAGCGGTCGTCGTGTACCCTCAATAAGAAGCTGCTATTTTCTGTAGACACAACGATTCTCGTATCAGGGCGTGCCAAATGGGTATCCCTTGATATGCCGTTCGTTTTTCAAAAGACATTTCGAATCTTCAAGAACTCCGGCTTGTGGTATGCCCATTCTTTGCTCTATCGCCTCTAACTGGGAACAAAAGAGGAAGCTATACTATTTGCTGCCATACAATGCGTATTTGGAGCTACTTTGTTGCTTTGAGCGAATGATACTATGGCAGATGGAACTCTTTTTGAAAGCATTCACCATACGAACGTATGAACAAGAGGATTGCAGAAGAGAAAAATGAAGAACAAGGCGTGTTTGAACCTTGATTCAGATTCTTGTCCGGAAAGTCGGGGGAGAAGTCTTCCGAAACGTACCGGACTACTTGTCGGTGCCGCTCATTGCACAACTGTGAGGATTTGTATTACTTTAAAGGGATTCATGTACATCCCTCGTTTCTGGTCGTGTGTGTAATTGCATGTGCTGGAGACAAGGACATTAATTGTACCCTTTGAGAGGGGAGCAAGTACTTCTGTTGGTTTATGCTCGCGTCAAAAGGATGCTGAAAATATTTACCTTGCGCTAAGGATCGGAACACGGGAGCGTACCCAGCTAAAAGAGGTGAATGGTTTGGGCCGTCATAAAGTGATGTCCAAAAGACTGCTAAAAGGACGCCTTGCTCGAAAGGATTGCCTGCGTGCTGTACCCAAGGGTACACTACGCGAGATAATTAAGGGCCACAGACTGTGGCCCTTAATTATCTCGCGTCATCCTGGAATATGCTCTCTGGGTACTGTGGGCCACAGTACCCAGAGAGCATATTCCAGGATGACAAGGCGCTTACAGGAATACGAATCCAGACGGTTGAAGCATGGGCCCTTGCTGTACGCCATCCATCGCCAGGACGCGTCAGCAATGCAAGCACGTTGTGATTGTCGACCGGCACAGAGCTGTGTAAGAGTGGTCGCTCAAGCCTTCTTCGATATACAACTACTGTACTCCCCGCCCTGGCCCACTTGGCATTTCCCAATTGGATACACGATCGATCGCTTCCGCCAGTGTGCCAACGCGACAACGTGTAAATAAATCGCGACCGACGAGTACTTTCCTCACAGGTATCAACGAAAGCTAGAAAGACTGCTATTCTCCACGGACGCCTCCGACTCGACGCGCTATCGTCACCTCTATTCAAACATCACCAAATCTTGACGGTTCCATCTGCAGTCCTACTAAGATGCTGGATATAAACCTTTTTCGCGAAGACCGTGGGGGCAATCCGGATCTCGTCCGAGAGAGCCAACGTCGTCGCTTCAAGGATGTGTCTCTGGTCGACGAGGTCATGAAATGGGATGCTGAATGGCGCAGTGTACGATACGATTTAGATTGCGCATCAAAAGAGCGCAACTCCCTGAACAACGAAATGAAACAGATCAAGATCAAGGGGCGCAATCCAGAAACAAACATTGATCCGGACGGCACCAAGGAAGCCGCAATTAAGGCAGCAAAAGCAGAGCTTGCAACGGGTGAGGGCGCAAAAAAAGAGCGACTTGTTGTAATTGAGAAGGAGCGTGACGCCGCGCTCAAGCAGATCGGAAATCTTTTGCACCACACCGTACCTGTTGAGAAAGACGAAGAACACAATCGAGTCGAGCGGATGTTCCCTCCCTCTGGGGAGCTCCCGAAGTTACCGGGAAAAGGGCTGACGCATGTTGACTTGCTTCACATGATCGGCGGCGTAGAGTATGCTCGTGGTGTAAGCACTGCAGGTAGTCGGGGATACTTCTTGAAGGGGCCTGGCGTCATGCTGAACTTTGCTCTGATTCAATACGCTTTAAACTTTCTAACCGAGCGCGGATACACGGCCGTTCAGCCTCCGTACTTCATGGAGAAAGAGCAAATGGCAAAGTGCGCGCAATTGGATGATTTTGATGAAGAGCTGTACAAAGTTTCCGGTGATGGGGACAAGTATTTGATCGCCACAAGCGAGCAGCCCCTCTGCACTTACCACGTGGATGAATGGGTGGACGAACGTGAGCTCCCTCGTAAATTCGCAGGGGTATCAACTAACTTTCGAAAAGAAGCGGGATCTCACGGCCGAGATCAGCTTGGCATCTTCCGGGTGCATCAATTCGATAAGATTGAACAGTTTTGCGTCACGTCACCGGATGACAACCTGTCGTACGAAATGCTAGAGACGATGGTGAAGAACGCAGAGGAATTCTATCAGAGCATTGGTTTGAGCTACCAGGTAATCAGCATTGTCTCCGGGGCGATGAATGACTCTGCGGCAAAAAAGTATGACATCGAGGCATGGTTCCCAGGAGCCAGCGATGGGAAGGGCGAGTACCGGGAACTTGTATCGGCGTCAAACTGCACGGATTTCCAGGCGCGCAAACTCGAAACACGCTGCGGGAGCAAGAAGATGGGGGATACCAACAAGAGATACGTGCATATGTTGAACGCCACCTTGTGCGCGGTGACGCGTGTGATTTGCTGCATTCTTGAAACCTTTCAAACAGAAGAAGGTATTACAGTGCCAGAAGTTTTGCGAGCGTTTGTAGGTAGCGACTTTATCCCGTTTGTGCGTGATCCACCAAAGCTGAAAGTGAAAAAGTCTAAAAAGTAAGGTGGTGCGGGTAGAGCCGGAAATGCTTGTTGTGGCGAATAAAAAGGAAGTCACATAGCTAGCAAAGACGCGCGAGGAACGGCTGTCCCTTGCGATTAGACGTGAGCAGCGGCCGTTGTACAAATAGAAATTCCTAGACGTCCTTCGATGACATCCACGAAAATAGAGAAAACGTTGCACAACGTTTTCCCTATTTGAGAGCAGTCAATTGGTTACGATTGCGGGGCAGCGGCAGCCACGGGGGATGCTGACATGTTCTGACTCGACAGAGGAGCGCTGGCAGGTCCGTCGTTGTTGCGTAGAGTTTGATTTGTACCTTCAACATTTCCGCTCTCTTTCTTGGCCTCTTCTTCACGTGCGTTCTGTTTGTTCGCATCCAGCTCATTCTGCGGCTGGGAGACAATTTTAGGAGTCGGGAGAGCGTATGATGGCATTAGGAGGCCGCTTGCTACACGTTGCTCAAAGTGATGGACGATGAGGTCGATCTGTTCCTGGAGCTGCTGTCCGATATACTGGCGGTAGTACTCACAGACATTGTACTTGTGTCGATTGCCGTCATTGTGTTGCTTGCGCACGGCGACTGAGTCGTTTGTCAAGAAGACGTCGCAATAGTCGCAGTAGCATTTTCCCATTTCACAAGCGTAAAACAGAACGGGACCGGCGGACAACGGAGATGGTCGAAGAGAGCGCGTTTTGTTTGAAAAATAGTGTGCGCGATCGTCACTAAACACATCTTGCAACTTCGTACAGCACTCTACTCTTCGGTGTACGCTGTAATACGTGTACAATGAGGAAGGGAGTACAAGGGGACCGTACCCATTAGTGCCGCCCTGTGCGAGACCCCAAAACAGGCACTATTGGGAGATGGCATTAGTAGGTGACGTCGTCACATCTATTTTCATGCACTCGGAAATTAACGTCTGTCTGCTCCGCGTTGGGTCTCTGTCATGTTTTGCAGTGAGAAACGCGCGCTTTACCTCAGATACGATAGAGCGTCTGAAACTTGGCATTCAGTCGCCAAAACTTCCAGCTCTCCAAACAATTCCGCGGTCTCAACGACAGAGGGTACAGTCCTTCTCTCTCTCGCATCCTGTGCGCTCCCATCTTCATCACTTGATTGCGTTGTACAGGGAGGGGTCGCGATATAGTGCCATCTTTGTTAGTGCCAGCTCCTATATAGTGCTACCCTTCTGCGGGTGGCACGAATTTTGAGCCAAAAACGAAGGGTCTCCAGAGAGGCAAGGCAGTTGGATGGACGTACTGCCCGAGAGCCGCTGCCGCCGGGGAAAGATATTATGCAGTTGCTTACTAGAATAGAGACTATGGCGGAAAAAGGCAGGGTCGGTGATGCAATTGGACATCTGCAAAAGTGTAGGCTGGCATTTATTGCTGCGAAAAAGGAGGGAGTTAATGCGACGCCTCGGCAGCTACTACTCTGTAATAACAGAAATGCTTGATTTCTGAAAATGCTTGATTTGACTTGAGTCTGTAGTGAAGATGCAAAGTATGAGTGATGGCGTCCTGCGAGCGGTCTTTCTGAGCAGTGCAAGGAAGTGGCTGCAAAAAAGCCGTAAATCTCATTATCTTACAGTGTCTGGTTCGATATAGTGCCGTTTTCGGCCCACTGACACAGGGTAACACTATATCGCGACCCCCCTGTAGTTGAGTTCGTCACACCCTAAACCGTCTCAAAAACAGCATAAGAGCATCTCCACCGCATAGGCAAATTGTTTCTATATTTGGACACTTGTCAGGCTCCCACATGGGCATTCGTTTTGCGCATTCCGTTTGCGAAAGTACCACAAATCGCCGTTGCGCAAATCGCGTCGCGGTCTCCACCGCGCACTGCGTCGCACCCGCCCCCGATCCGCGCCCAGACTTCCCGCGCCCCGACTTCTGGGCCGCCCCCCACCCCGACCAGCAGGACACAAAGCCGAGGTCCAGTTCGTCGACGCTGATCTCTTCCACCCAGACTTGTCCTCGCCGCCCGAAGTGTACCCGGCCGCGTCGCCACCCACGCCTTTGCTAGATGGTCGAGTTCAGTTAGCCCCATCCACGCCCGCGGACTCCTATAATAAATGAGTGTTAACGCGTGCATAATGTCTGCGTGCGGGTGGATGCAGGCATGTGCAGTGCGAGCATAGACCGTCCACTGCGCATTTGGCATGCTCAGACGTTTTGGGCGGGTCGGGTGTACCCGTGGCTTCCTGCGTTCTTGCTGTTTCGGTGTCTAAAAGTAACAAAAAATCAGCCCGTTCAAGCAGAAGAGTGTTGCCAAAAAATGGGATTTGTGACGTGACGCGCCACAAAATCAAAAAATATGTGTGCCGTCAAGACACAAATCCTATTTATCATACGATTTGTGAAACAGATTTGTGTGCAGATTAGCGCGGTGGAGACCAAACTCAAGCCTGAGTCGCCATATTTTAGAAATGGCCACAATTTGCCTGCGCGGTGGAGATGCTCTAACACCCGGACCCGTGTGACACGTGGTACTTTTCGCGTCTGGCCGGCATTAATGGGAGGGTGGCATAAGTAAAAGCGGCACTAATGGGCGTCCCCCCCGTGCTGTATGCCCACCAGTGCAGAATATTCGCCTTTCGCAGTTGCGGGTTCCAGCTGGCCTTCCAGAAGGCCATTGAGGTAAAGCCCACGTCTGTAGAGTAGGAGTACAGTAGTAAATAAGCCCTCTCCCTGGCCGGTGCCTACAACCTGCAAGGGCAAGAGGAAGGAACTACTGTAGTTTGTTTCTTAGCGGGCGCGTGCGGCGTCTGAGCCTCGATTTTTACCTACGATAGTCCCGTCCTCCCCTTCGCTCCCGAATACGTCGCCCATGCCGCGGTACCTGCGATCACCCGCCGTTTGCTCTGAATCGAATCCGTGCGCGCTTCCTCGCAGTGGCTTGGACTACTGTAGCGCACGTGACCTCACACCGAGAGGGAACACAACGACAGTATGCGGCACTGTCGTCTTGCTTCAGGCTGTCCTTGTTTGAAAAAATCTCAACATCGCCTTGACTGAATATTCAGTTGGCGAGAGCATGGTCTTAGTCGAGGGGCAAAAGTTTGGCATCTCATGAAGCCATCACGGACGCAGCTAACGTATTGTGGCATCAGCATAAGCACTCTCGTGCTCTTAGAGCCACTCGGACAAGGAGATAGTGTCGAATGTGGCTCCCCCAAACGCTACAGCCCGACGACCCAATGCGGGCCAAAGATTTTCCGTCCTGACGCATTTGCCGACATGCTGTTTTCTGTCGCAGGCGGTAACGGAAAATTTTCATCTGCCTGTCGAGCACCTCATCTCTCATGTGGTGAAGAATACATGATACAGTATGGGAGCAACGCAGACAAGACTGAATGGAGACATGTTTACTGAACGGCTGCAATTTGCATCAGTTTATACATAAATGTTTTCTACGCCACATCCTGCTCGGCACGGTGATGGGCAAACGGGATGAAGAAGACAAACTAGGACGCCATGAAAGCACTAAAACCGTGCCGGGACATACAAACAAGCATGTCTTCATAGATGAAAATCAGGGAGAAGGCGCGGCGACAGTTGCATTCAGAACCACAGACTGCACGTCCATAGAGCCCTGATGTAAGACTCCGAAAGGGACACCAAGAACAGTGAGCGCGAGAAGTGGGGTGACATATTGCGTGGTGAACGAGCGAGTCGGAGTAGGAGCTTTACATTGGATGCGACTCGCAAGCGCACGACGAAAAGTGGGGCGCGATATACAGGGCGTATACGGAGGGAAGCTGGGTGAAAACAGGAGTGAATAACGTTAGGCTCAGCAGTCGCATCCGACGTCCTTGTTAGGCAGGTCCACGTCTCCTTCATTCTTGGACTGCAGCCAGGCCGACACCTTAGCGTTGAGGAAGATGGCGTAGACCAACCAGCCAAGTGCGTGGCCGGCGACAACGGCAAGAATAATCCAGACGTTCATGGTCATGACGATAAGCATGGCGACGTAATGTAGGAGCTGTCTGCTGCCATGGCCGACGGCGGCGAGAATCGACTTGACATACGAAGGCGGGGTCTTGGCCAGGACGCGGTGTTCGTAGGCACGGATGAGCTGGGAGGTAAGGGTGACAATGATGGCGAATGCAAAGGAAGCAAAGAGGGCGCCGATGAAGGCGCCGGTGGTGTGGACGTCGGCCCCCTCAAAGAGAACCGTAAAATGCTTGGTGCCGGTAGAGAGAAACATGCTGTGGCCGTTCATGTTTTGGTGGTCCCCGCCGTCCATTTCAGCAGTCTGGTCGTTGGCAGGGGGCGTATCGTCCATCGGCATTTCGGGATCATGTTCTCCATGTTGACGGAACAAGAGTGAGAGATCCATTATGAAGGTTGTGGGGCGAAGAGTTGAGGAAGAACGGGAAAGCTAGAGTTGGGCGTGGGAAAGTCGGCGATGGGGAAGCAAAGTAATATATATATTATTATGTACATGCGGTGTCGGCAGGCGGAGCAGGAAGGTCGTTGAGATTGTGCAAGTGAGTTTTGCTGATGAAAATGGAGGGGCTGTGGAACGGGGCGGTGGAGGTGCAGCGGGACGGTTAAGAAAGGATGTCACCGACGAGGTGCTTGAAAACGCAGTTCAAATTGAATACCTCAGGTGGGAAGGTTGGATGGCGGACTTGAGAATTTGGTGGTGCGGATGGCAATCCCAATCGACCACGTCCTGCGGCTGTTTTCTACCCGCGCCACCTTCCCGATGCAGACCACCCTGCCCTCCCCATTGGGTCCCTATATACTATATATATACTATATAGTATACATACGTCTCTTCTTCAACAATGTTTTTTACGGTATGACTTCGCCTGTTTCTGTAAGCACCAGAATGTCCCACTCAGGTTCCACCTCTACTGTAAGCTCGTCGACCTCAAGCAGATCCCACGTTGTTTTGCCCCCTTCGCCTTGCCGCTCCCTGGTCCTTCCCAGCCCCCCTGCCCTCCCTGTCAGTCCCGCCATTCGTTCCGTTCCGTGCCCTCTCGCCTCTTTTTTGCAGTGCAACGCAACGCAGTGCAACGCAACGCAGTGCAACGCAACGCGCTGCAACGCCGCACTGTGCCTTACGTGCCCTCCCATCTCTCTTTCTAACTTCTACGGTACACCTGTCCCCAAAACGCCAGGTGTACAGTTCTGTCCTACAGTACCCTTGGGTACAGGATCTGCATCAGTGTACCTGTAGATGAACTGCACAAAAGTGCTATTTTCAACAACAAAAATACCCTGCTGTACAATGCACAGTCCACTTCTCCCCCCTGCACTTGTCCACGTGCATACGTCCCACTGGCCGTTTCTTATATCCAGTCACTCTACTACTCCATGCGAAAGAGATCCATTCCCTCTCCTTCACACCCCTTCGCCTGTACTAAAAACGTCTACTGTGCTGCCCTCCTTCTCCATTCCCCACTCCCCTTCCCCCCTCTGCATTCCTCCCCATGCCCATTCCCACATTGCATTCAAACCGTTTCCCCCCGTTCTCCTCCCCCCCCTTCTTACCACCACTCTCCTGGCCCCCTGTCCATCCCCGATTAACTCGCACTTCGAATTTGCCTTAATAAATGCATCTCGTTCCCTCGTGTCTTAAACCTCCTACCTCCTGCTGCATTCAATCACGCTCCCCTATCACCTCGCCTGATATAAAAACTCTCACCCATCCCACTCACCACACCACTGCACCGCAAATCACAAAACCCAACCTTCAACGGTCACCTGCGTATCAACTTTATACACGACCCTCACAATTCACCCCTCCAACAATGAAATTCCAGTCCCCTGCAACCCTTCTCCTGCTTACCATCCTCCTCCCGGCCATGCACGCCGCCATCATCAAGGGCACCTGCCCTTGTCGTCTCCGCGCCTCCGCTGGCGTCAGCATCTGTGCCGTGCAGGCTGGCGACCCGAACTGGTGCAATTTCCACGTCTGCGCCCCGTCGTACGAGTGCATTGACGCCTCATGGGCCACCCATACCTGCCAGAAGAAGGAGACCCTAGGAACCCACAAGTGCCTCTTGGATGCGAACGGCAAGGTTGTCAAGCCCAGCCCCCAGAGCGTCAACCGCTGCAAGTGCAAGCACCATCCCAGAGCCGTCATCCATCACATCTCCCCCATCGCATAGAAGGCGCCAGGGAATATTGCTTTTTGACACGGATTCGAGATCAGCCTTCTTTTTATACCGCCCCAGCAGGGCGGCCTGTATGGATAGTAGAGTGCTGTCTCTTGTTTTATGTTTTGCTGTGCCACAGAGTTAGGCAGATGCGCTTCTTTAATATTACTGTGATGTTGTGCTGTCACAGTGCCAATGTCATTCTCATTTTTAGAAATTGTTTGTAAACGCTGACATGCCTTGCTTGCATCTGTCCCCATCGATGTTCGAGATATCACTGCGCCGCCCTTGTTCGGAAAGCTCACATTCCCGAGAAGTACGCTTCGCACAATAGTCAATAGAAGATACATGATCTCTTGCTTATCTTGGCGTTGCCCCAAGAGAGCGAGGATTGTTTCGCAATGAGATATTATTCTTCGAAACAAAATGGCGAGAATCGCACATCGTCTACTAGCCGCGACATGAACGATCTTGCGGATACTGTGTGATACATGTATCTCTAATATGAGACGTTGACCTTCCGAGATATTGACCAAGTCCGGCTTGAAAGCGGATATCAGGGCATGAACATACGGTTCGTCTATTTTGTAAGAGGTAGTTGCAATTCTAATATGCCGATATTAGAACTTCCGTTCAATGAAGGCTACTTACGGTCTACAGCAAATTACAGGCTACAGTTGCTCGTCAGCTATCAGGAAAGATGACGCCCAGAGTTGATTTTCAATGCTGGCTTGCCGCCACTTCACTTTTTAGGATTCCACATGATCGTTATGTAATGCAGATTGTGCTCACGCAATTCAGTGAACCCCACAACGCTGACAGTTCTTCTTAAAGTCCAGCTGCCAGCACAGGCAATTTTTGAAACCGGCAACACATGCTTGTCGCTCCTCGTAAGCAGGACGGAAAACACAATGCCAGTTCTGCTGACTGTATTGGAAATTACTCGCGTCGTCCTCTTCGGCGCCGAATGGTTAATGTCTGTAATTGTGTGGGGCGCTACAGGTACGGAATCGTCTCATTCGCATTTTGTGGCGTTGCTTTGATTTTGCGCACGCGCGAAGCTGTTTCCAGTCCGTATGTAAGACTGACCATTTTCATGCGTTGTTTCTGGTTGCATGCCTTTCGTATTTCTTTCTACCTGTTTCATTGCTGGTAGCCGATAAGCTTGACTTTGCTGGTTTTTGCTACTTCGGAAAGAGAAGCTCATGCGGATCAATAATTTTTTTTGGCCTGTCCGCCTCCATTATTTTGACTGCAGTTATCGTGAACTATATAGTGAGTCTGATTGCCGCAAAGTATGCGTTTGGCCGGGGGCTTGAGATCGCAGCATATATAGTGATGACAACCATTTGGGCATTGATCGCTATAATTGCAGCCGTTGGAAGTCCCAAATCTCATACGAGAGCTATTGGAAGTGTGGTACTGTTTTTGTCGTGGATTAATGTCCTAACCCATGGAATGAGTGCTGGAATTGTATATTTACTGTGCAAGATGGACCCTGCGGATATTGCAAGACCAGAGCCGATTTAGTTTCAAAGGGTTAGATTTTCTGACGTCTTTGTCGTTGGGTTTGACACGATTATGCTCTGTCATGCTCTCGTCATTTGAAAATCTGAAAGGCCTTGCAAGGTGATATAGACAGGACAGTATGGCTCAAGTTGCAAAAAGAGTTCATCTGTAAAATGGTTGGACTATGAATGTTGTGCCTTTCGCACTAACTACACAACGTACGAGCGGACGAAACGAAGTGAAACCTGATTGTTGGGCAAAGATATTAGCGTTCAATTGGAGCTGCGAAGGATAGTTGTTCTTGTGGACGGTAAAAAAAAACACAACCCCTGCAATTACATTGATAAAAACTGTTACTTCTTCTTTTCGTTCACAAAATCTCCGCGATCATGACAGATTGAACAGAATCTTAAAATCAAAGTATAGGACTGCGTTAGCATTGAGTAGTATCCTCTTACAACGCCGAGGTTGCTCTGCAAAAGCCCGACTGTAACTTTATGTAGAAATCAGTTGGAGATGAGGAACACCCCTGTATACAGAAGAGGCTTGCTGAATTTTACTACACAACAGCGAACACCAAGTAATGTGTTGCACCGGCGCCGCTGTAGCCCCTAAAGAAGAGAGTTTATCAGGACAAGGTTGGATGCGAAACAGGAGCTGTTCGGAAATTATGATCGGCAGTGCGCCTGTCCCCTCCAAACCCGTCTCACTTGTATTCAATCCCCGCTCTCGATGACAAGTGGCATGTCCTGCTTTACATGAATATTGTGAGGTACAGTACCAGTGGTACAGTACCGAATTGGAAATGATTCGATTTCAGGACTTTACGGTTTGACCGTAACAACCGCCCATTCGCCCTGGCTACTTGCTGCATGCATACTGTAAGTATTTTATCATATGATTTTAGGTATTTTTTGTGTCTTTTCCGCTGCCACCTATTGGCCAGGGACACTGTTTGTTTATTACACTAGGGTTACACGGCTAACCGAGTCAGGGGTTCGATGTCGGCGCGGCTCTATAAAAGCCGCACCGACACTCACCCGACGAGGTAGCGACACATACACACCCACACAATAAAAGATCGGTAACTGTTCTTTAATCAGTGACCGTCAGGTATCGAGACGTTTACTGTGGTCTTGGATCATTCAGGTTGGTTCTTCCATGTTCGGCTGGTTGCTCTACTGCTAAGTGGTCACGTACTTATTGATAGAGAGTGTATTGTGGCATCTGTGAATTGCTTCCATTATCTTAGCACACTGTCGGTGAATTGCATTCGAGTGCAGACACTGTCGGTGTCGGTGAATTGCATTCGAGTGCAGATACTGTCGGTAGTGAATTGAGCTTAGTCCTGCGAATTGTACTGAATTGCTCTTCTTTTCGTGCATCGCACATCCAGTACTGAATTGCACTTCTTCTCGGGCATCGTACATCAGAGCATCCTTGCTCTAGCCCCAAACAACTACAGTAGCACGGTGAATTGCTCATCTGGGCAATTAGGCCACCAACACAGTGGCACAGTGAAATGCAAGTCAGATCGCATGAGTACAGTATCACAGTAAAGCCAACCAGTTTCACACACACACCCACA